AAAAAAATGGCTACTGGTTAACATCGCGCGTTAACTTGGAGCTAAAAATGGGTCAAAGTTACGCGTCGTGTCACAACGCTTATAATAAAAATGTACGAGCACTTGCACAAAATAGTTGTTACAACCAACCTTTTGTTGGGTCTAATTCTCGTCACTACACTGCACAACTTAAAATAATTACGTTTTTTGTCGGTAAAAACGTCCTGGTGACGTCACTTAAGCATTTTTCTTATACTGCGTGCGGTCGTTGCGCGTGCGCACAAAGGAATGAGACCGCTCGGACACCGAGCCCACAGCGTGGTAGGGGTGGGGTTGCCCGCTCTTTTGTTTTTTAATACTACTACGCTGAATATTGTGTGCGGATTGGGTTGTCGTACATGGGTACTACATGGTAAAATAAATCTCGGAGGCGAAAGCAGGATAATTTCTTTCACCATTAGAATCCTACATAATTTTTGATGAACATGAATGCGCCGGGTCGGCTGGTAAATTAAATTTGAATAATTCTGCTCCCTGTCGTCACTCTACAATATTGACCTAATTCTATTACAAAAGGGAATCGATATTCTCTTTTACAAAACAAGATGAAATCCTTCAAAAGTATTTATAGATACACACGAGCACTATCGATACAGCGCATCACTAACCGTAACCGATACGAATCTGCAACCGAACGCTTTTAGCACTCCATTTTCTACAATTCAGTATTCTCAGCCGGGGTAAGTGGGGACGAATTAGGCGAACGAGAAGAAACGCTTGGATTCGCATCTTTGTAGGCACTACCACAATTAACTAATAAGGTTCAGAATTACTTGAATAAAAAGGTAGGAAATATAACTTAATAAATCCAAATTTTATTTTCCCCATAAAAACTTTCGTATTCCTTTTGATGTCATCTGAAAAGTTTCGAAAACTATTCCACTCGAGTCTGTTCCTGCACAAAATGAATCTTTGAAATTCCTGGCGGAACCAGAGTCATTAGCAACGTCTGAATTGATTCAACAGCTGCATTAAAACGGGGGATAAAATTCAATTTTCCTGAGAAGTTAACGCGCAGGGTATCCCATCTCCTAATAAAATTGAAAAGCTTACCAGCTCCAGCCTGTAACTTATAGCTGGATTACCATAACTTAACTTTGCAACCAGATGCAAATCTCTGCAAAATTTTCCCGGCCCATCTGCATGTCTGCTATCGGACTGGAGTGCAAAATTGGAATTTAAAATTTCCCTATTTCGAATCCGGCGAAAAATTCCCTCTTTTCATAATTTTCATCTCGCTTTATGCAACTGATACAACGGCAACCCCAATATTGTTGCTATCTCTAATTGAGTAAGTTATTTACAGTAGAATTAGATCGTAAGAATTTGCAGTTTTAAAAGTGGAAATTAAAATTAAAACTTATCAATTGGATGTGGTAGGTATACTTAAAGGTTCTAAGGGTGGATTCGACCAAACAAGAGTAAATATTTTTTTTTTTTAATCTAAATATTACAAAAATAAATAGTACACCGATATCTTTCGGCTTTACCTTTATTGAACACCGATACCAAATACTAGTCTAGTTTTCAGTAAGCATAACAAAGCAAACGTTAACGGTTTTATTACACACCTCTAATCTTAATGTCTGAATCCTACCCATTCAGGAGCAAGCCACCGAAACTATCCGTAAATAGCCTTGGATGACTTCCAAAACCAACGGCATAGATGACAGAATAACCTCATATAAGGCTTTTCTATCAAAAAGGGTTCAAGTCGAGCAGAAATATGGAAGAAATCTTTATAGAGCTGACAGTTTTCTCAGGATTTAACGTAATATTGTATTTGAACTCAACTTTTGACCGTAGGTATGGTGTAAAGACTCTTAAAGTGACTATCAATATCGTACAAAACGTGTTATATAGTAACTATATTCTTCCTAAAGAATGCACTTATTTAATTAAAGAAGAATTAAGTAACACTGCCCTAACGCTTGAGTCTTCCAATGACTTGGCCCACTTTTAGCTTGGTCCACGGGCCAAGTCACTGATTTGAATTTTTAACAGTATTTCTTCCAGTGACTGGGCCCACCTCTAAGATTCTAGAGTAGATTTCTGTTGATTTGGGGTTTAATTTATTAATTAAACATTGAAGTTGTGCCCAGTCTCTGGGAAAAAAACTATTTAAAAATTCAAAAAAGCGACCAAGTTTACTGCTTGGCCATATCACTGGAAGACTCAACACTTCATACCTACTTGTCGACCATTCATCTCGTATGTTGTTCTTGAATCACAAACAGTCTTATCGTCTGACCTAGCTTATGTGAGGATTAGGACCAAGAACTCCCGAAAGTTAACTAGCACATGGGTATTGTAGGTTTTAAGTCTACACAGTCTCCGGTATGAGGTGTGAGGTAGTCAACGATATAAGTTAGTAATTAAGTACTGCAGCCTTTTGACTCACACGAACATCAAACATACTAAGGTAATCCTCTTTTAACTCAAATCTAAAGCCTTCCTATTGTTGTGTATTAATATTCTAGAAAGCTGGAAGTTTGGCTCAAAATAATATTTATATTTAGCCCAACATTTTCAAAGATTATAATATATTATGCTTACTAAGACTTGGGCTGAGTTGCACCACCTAACTTTGACCGTAACTATGACGATAACCGGTGTTTTTTTGTATAGAGTTTGACAGATTTTTGACGTTTGTCAAATTTAAAGTAAGATGGTGCAACCCAGCCTTAGTCATTGTAAGTAGGATACAACCAGGATTTTACGCTAGTCGAAAACTTATGTCATCAAGTTAGAGTGAGTTATATCTTCATTTTAAGCAAGTGCTAACCGCTAAGCATGCTTGGAAATATTACGCGAGTTAGAGAGTTTGCTAAATTAAATACATTTTGTGGACTAAAAAGTCCTTGTTGCGAATTTAATATTAACGTCTGAATGTAGTTATACACTAAGTTTTCTTTCTACCTGAGTTAAGTACCTACTTATACAGGGTGGCCTAGAAGAAAATTCACTTTTGAAAATTCAAGGAAACGAATAATAAACATTTTTGTAGAACTTTAAAAAAGAAAATTTATTTTAAAATTTACTTTCTTTTATAAATTTTATAATACACGTTGACGTTTACAACATTCGGTCAACATACATCAAAATTTTGGAAAACTTTCGTTAGAGTTAACTCGAAATGGATTCAGGATGGATGAATGCTGCAGAGTTTTTGGATTATTAGAGTTTAGTAAAGTTTCAATTAGTTACTTCCTGGTTACCACTAATTGGCAAAAAAATAGGAAGTATTTTAGCGTTATTCAGAGATGGTTAATACTCGTGATTAAACTTACATACAGGGTGTCCCATAATGGGTGAATCAAACTGATAGGAGAGGTAGCTCTAATAATGTACTCTATCCCTAAAAAATCGGTGTAATAAATTGCGGAAACAGATGTATGTTGTATTGAATTAAGCATTATATCACGTTCATGTTTCCAAAGATCACACTCCCACAAGATATGATGGGCAGACTGCTCATGACTGACATCATCAGTGGAACACTCGCAAAAAGGCGCGAAGTTTATGTTTAAAGTTGCCATGTCCCGTGAGGAACTGCGACGAGCAATGGTCGATTTCTAACCATCGCCTAGTTAGACGTACCTAGGTACATTCGGGAAGAATTTATATAAGCGATCTTGTCGCGACAAGGAAAAATTTCCGTGCTTTTAAGCGATTTTGTGAAAAATATTATTGGCAGGTAGTTGCTAATTGCTCATAAGATAGGCCCCCTTAATTTAATTTATTGTCCGTGGTGCATAATCTTTTCTTAAAGGTTTTAAACCTTTGTTTGTCACCATTCGTCCATTTCCATTCGTCGTCGCTCGCTTCTACCTGTACAACGCGTGTGTGGAGATTCTAACTGTGCGTGCGCGAACTACCCTCATTATGTCGAGCAAGTGTGACTATTGTAACAAAAACATCACGAAGCTGAAACCGGGATTAGAATGTAACCGCTGTGAAAAAATTGTGCACTTAAATACCCAATGCACAGGACTCACGAATAAACAACTCAATGCCCTACGAGCTTCTGAGAGTCTAGAATGGACCTGTCAAGATTGCCAAAACAACACGCCTAAACGTCGATCGATCATCATTCCAAATGAAGATGAAGGTGATGAGGAAGTCGCTGAAAACCCAACGATCCAAATCGATGTTAAAAAACTACTTGAAGACATATCTAGAGAAGTGGAGAGGGCCATAAAGATTGAAATGAAAGACCTCAACAAAGCGCTCCAATTTCAATCAGATAAGATGGATGAACTCCTAAAAAATTTTGAAACTATGCAAAACAACATATCTGCTCTTCAGAAGAGAAACGTAGAACTTACTAATCGGAACAATAATCTGGAAACGAGGGTAGGAGCCCTGGAACAGCGCATTCAGNTACTTAATATCTTCGTAAGTAATGGTCCGATTTGGATATTTCAAAAAGATATATCTTTCTTATGTCTTAAAGATTAACGTAGATACTAGTTTTATTGAATTTTCTACAACAGTACTGATCCTCATTATAAATATTATTTGACCTCAAATAAGTTAATAAATAGTAGGTGTGTCCACTTATTACATTACGAATTTCCCACAAGATAGGTAGGTATCTCAAATTAATCTTATGTAATCTGAAATGTGTAGGCAGGCACATCACTCACACTTTTTCATAGACTTGTCTTTATTTTGCCATGAAATATGAACTGTGAAGCTACTGTCTCACTGACAGGCTTGCTGACAAGGCTTCTGTTCAAGTCCCAAAAAATATCTTGAGAAGTAGGCGAAATAAAACCACTATCAAGATTCAACTACAATATGTATATTTCAAAAACATCATCTCAGACTACTTATGTAAGTCGAAAGATACTTTATCACCGCGTGTTAAAAGCCTACAGCGCCATCTAGCGGTAAGCTGTTGAATTAAATAGTACGCACTACTCGTACGTGCTAATATTATAAATGAATGGCGTAAACAGCTTCAATATGTTGTTGAATTTCTCAATAAATGACACTTACGAGTGAATAACAACGCTGTTGAATAATTACACAATTATTTTCAACGTTCATTATTTGTATGCTACCGAGTTAATGAATTCCTATCGTTGTTATATGCATTTTTTTAGACATAATTATGATGTATGAGACTTGAAGTTATAAATGTCCATCCATTCCTTTCGAAACTAAAATGATCTGTTACGCTGTATATTATATTGTATGTATATAGGGTCCTTCTAAATCAGCTACGTTCCGTTTAATGGGAGCATGTATACCTAGTTTAAATAAATATAAATAATAATTACACTAAAAATATTTCAACTATTTCAACGCGCGGGGTGGGATTTCAGGGCGTTGCCGAGTTTTAAAATAACATCTATAAATTAAATTAAAATAAATTAAGTTGCATTCAAGCAACGGAACAACAAAACCTACAAAATCACATTGAGATACATAACATCCCAATCAATGACAATGAAAACCTAAATGAGATCGTAACCACTGTGGCAAGAAAACTCGATCAAAACCCTGATGAAATTAAGCAAATAAAGCGCTTGCCAAGCAGAAATGATCGGCCTGGTCCGGTGCTGGTTGAACTAAACACTGAGCAAGCTCAAACATCGTGGCTAGCTGCACCGAAAGTGATGAACCTAAAGATCCTTACCTCAGAAATCATTCCTGATAAACATAAGCCGAAAGCAAATGGAACCATATTCATATGTGAGGCACTCACTCCCTACAACAAGCAGCTACTATATCAAACTAAACAAGAACTGAAGGACTCGTACCGTTATATCTGGATAAAAAAGGAGTTCTTCGTGTACGAAAGGAGGGAGAGAATCAAAAAACTTCTGTAATCCGATCTTTGGACGACATAAAAAAAATTAAACTAAGTGAACTTAAAACTAGGTCCTAAACGACTGTCTAGTAAGTTTCCATATCTTGTAATTTTCTATTAACTTTTTTTCACTGCATCTATTTTTATTCTATTATCTTTGTAATGGATTTTATACCTAAAGATATATATCAAATTAGTGATTGTGTAGACCTAAATAGCTTTCTAGACGGTATTCCAAATAATATATCACTATTATGCATACACATGAATATTCGATCTATTATTAAAAACTTTGAGTCACTTGAACAATGTATTCTCACTTCTAGACGCGATATAGACATTATAATGTTAACTGAAGTCAATATCACGACCGCCCTTAGTGGTCTGTATCATTTAAACGGTTATAAAATGTACACAGAGCTGCGGAAGAATCAGAGAGGCGGTGGAATAATAATATATGTAAACAACAAACACAAATTCAACATTAAATCATACAAAACACAACATTGCGAAAGTCTTTTAGGAACAATCACTACGCCGACTGATTACTCCGCGGTTCTTTGTTGCATCTACCGTCCACCAAGTAGCAGTAAGCATCTATTTGTAAAAGAGTTGGACACATTATTATCTAGAATTGGCCAAAGTTACGATTTATATCTTCTAGGCGACACCAACATCAATTTATGCTCAAACTGCCCTGTAAAACATTTATATAACACTATGCTGCATAAACATGGTCTAGCCTGCGGGATCACTGAATATACACGCATTGAATTACAAAAAAATAGACTTAGTAAATCTTGCATAGATCACATTTACGCTCGATCCCGCACACTGAACCTGTACACGGCGGCGCTTGGAACTACACTGGCCGATCACCGCGCAATCTCGCTTGCAATAACCGGTTCCTTGAACCGACTCACACGGGTGGATTCCAAATACATAACACGATACGACCATAGTAAATTAATTGAAAGCCTAAATCAATTGGACTGGGATACTGCCAAACAGACAGTATGCCCACATAAAATTTATGAAATTATCGTAAGCAACATTCGAAATTGTCATGATAAATCGGCAATTAAGATTAAAATATCTACTAACAAAAATCGACAAAACAACAAATGGATCAATAACAAAATTTTAAAAGCTTGTGAACACAGGGACGGACTATATAATAAATGGATTAAAGATCCTTCAAATAGAATCTTAAAACTACAATATAATTCATCTAGGAACTACGCAAATAAATTAATAATTAAAAGTAAAAATGCAAAACTAAGGAAAGATATTACTAATAATAAAAATAATCCCAGAAAACTATGGCAAATTTTAAATGAAATCACTGGCAGATCTAAAAACTTAGCCGATGCTATTATATCTAACGCCTTTGTAAAAAATAGCACCACAATATCGGATATAACCAATAACTTCGCTCGATGCTTTGCTGACAGTGTCCAAAATATTGTACCTAAATGCAACGTAAAACTTTTAGACCGAGATTACTACACAATGAGCCCAAAACAATCATGTCGCTTCCAAAAAATCTCAAAGACTTCAATCCTAAAAGAAATCAGATCGTTGAATAACAACAAAGCACCAGGCATTGATAATATTAGAGTACAGGATCTTAAATGCATTGGTGAAAAAATAGCTGAGGTTATTGCCCACTTCATAAATGAATCTGTCAGGCAAGGAACATACCCAAAAGACCTTAAAACGGGAATAGTTAGGCCAATACATAAAAAGGGAAGCACAGCTGTTTATGATAACTACCGCCCTATAACAATTCTATCTACAATAGATAAAATTGTAGAAAAAGCTNTAGAACGGAAAGACGCGGCGGTGCCTTTCGGTTTCACCCTGCGTAAGTATAATGTATATAAAAAGAAAGAAATGTATAAATGAATAAAAAAATAACAATAGATATTATAATGTACGAACATTATTGCATGTCATGGAACTCTTTTTTAGCTTAAGTGCCACCATTGTAAGAAAAATATTCTATAAAAATGTAATATAGCTGTTGAGTTTCTGAATAAACTAAATAAAATAAAATAAAAGAATCTGTCAGGCAAGGAACATACCCAAAAGACCTTAAAACGGGAATAGTTAGGCCAATACATAAAAAGGGAAGCACAGCTGTTTATGATAACTACCGCCCTATAACAATTCTATCTACAATAGATAAAATTGTAGAAAAAGCTATTTCTAAACAAATCTATTCTTTCTACAAAAACAATAATATAATTACAGACAAACAATACGGATTCCAGCCTAAAAAAAGCTCAACGCAACTACTCGAAAAATTTACAGATAGTATCTATAAACATCTTAATGATAAAAAACATGTTCTGATAGTATTTATTGACTATAGTAAGGCCTTCGATACGCTGAGACATGAAACTCTGATAGAGAAACTAACAGACTGCGGCATACAAGGTCCACTAAATGACTGGTGTAAGAGCTATCTTAGGGAAAGATCATATGTAGTTAAGGTCGAAGACTCAGTTAGTGCTAAAGTTGAAGTTACAGATGGCACGGCACAGGGATCTGTTCTTGGGCCACTTCACTACATCACTTACGTTAACGATGCAGTTAATACGGTCAAGAACTGCGAAATATATCAATTTGCAGATGACACATGCCTTATAGCAGCTAACAAGAGTATTGACCTGGCTCTTAGGGAACTGCAAACGGACTTCACACAGCTTTCTAAATGGTCACACGATGCAGGTCTTGTCCTAAATGCTGACAAGACGAAACTAATGTATATCAGCTCTAGTCAAAATAGAATAGATCGTGATCTTACCCTGTTTGCACATAATCATACCTGTTTGCATGGGAATTCCCCTAAATGTTTATGCAAGCCTGTTGAAGTTGTTAAGACACAAAAGTACCTGGGTTTACTGATTGACGATCGACTGAAATGGACCGAACATATAAACTATGTATGCGACAAACTACGAGCAATGTTGGCTAGGTTTACTCTTGTGAAGAGTAAAATCCCGTACACATCACTTCTACACTTATACATGGCTCTAGCAGAAACCACAATTCATTATGGTCTTAGCAGTTATGGTAGAACCTGTAAAACTCACCTAGACTCAATATATACACTACAACTAAGATTATTAACAACAGTTAAATCAACCTATCTCAAAAACTATAAGAGATACTTTGATCAAACCAAAAATCGTTGAAAGAATTAATTTAACATGCATCACCTCTATTTTTTTTAGAATTTTATACCCCGTAGTTATAAAAATAGAGGGGGGGGGACATACTTTTNTTTTTGTGACACCGTCAATAGTTATCATTAATATAAATGCTATGTAACTTAACTAAATAAAATAAATAAATAAACCTGTCATCCATTTTGCAATGGAGGGAAGTCAAACCTTCATTTCGAACTCCTCCTATGTTCTTCTGATTAATTTCGTTGCGGGTCCAATGAAAGTTTAACTTTCCCCCGGGACAAACTTGACCTTCATTGGTTGGGTTTTTGTGGCGGTCAAGCTGTAGATCCTGGCTACACAGAAGTTGCAGTGGTGGGAACGAGAGGTGGGAATAGTCCCGTATCCCTAAAAAATATGAAAAAAAATAATAAAGCGCATAGGAGACAAAAATATTTTTTTTGAAAAAGTGAAAATAAATCAGCTTTGCCTAAGTATCTGACAATGATTGCTGCGTTTGGAGTTCATTTGTACTTTTTTCTAACTAATATTAATTGTACATGATCGCTTCGTTTATCTGTAAACAAACTTTTGAAAATAATGACTAGATTTCGAGTTTTATTTATAAAAAAAATCCGAACTCAAAAATTTTTTTTTCATATTATTTTGGGAGAGTACATTAATAGAGCTACCTCCCCTATCAGTTTGATTCACCCATTCTGGGACACCCTGTATACAGCGAATAGCCTACTTGACACTTTGGTGATGGTGATGGTGATGCTGAACGAGGGCCTAAGAATAAGATCTGTGACGTTTATTCACGCGGGCAAAGTCGTAGGCAAAATATAGTATTTTGATAATAACACCTCATAAATAGCTTGTTGTTTTCAAAGCTTTCATTTTATAGAATTGAAATCTGAAACACGTAACAAATCACATTTATCACAGACACAATCAACACGTTAGTAACAAATGCTTTTTTGTGTCTCTAACTCAGGGTTGGCATTATTTGTTCACCTAGCTTTATTTTTTTCTCCCATTTTATTTAACAGTTTTAGTGATTTTTTCAACATAAAAATGCATTGGCCTGCAAAACTAAGTACCTATCACATTTTTAAATTGCAATAACTTTTCAAATACACAAGACAGTAGATAGTCTCGAAGTAACAAAGAATAAAGTTTCAAAAATGATGTTTTATTTTAGATGTCTTCTATAGTTTAGAAAAATTTTAATTTTAAAGTAGTACCTAGGTATTTACTTTTGCAGGCCAGTGTATTAATTGAATATTTCGTTTAAGCTATTTATCTTTATTATGTCATCGTTTCCCCATTAAGTAGGTACCTCCATTATGTGTGTATAATATATATGGAGGAAATCAAGTTATATTGCAATTGCCGTCCTCTGGAAAGTTTAATGCGTCACAAACGCGTTTGATTAAACAACGGAAAACACTTAACGCAATGTTATGTGATAGCATACTATATTATGTAAAATATTATATTATTGTAAAATTAATTTACATTTCAAATCACACCTATGAATTTATCCTCAAACTAAGCAGTGCTATAAATCTATTTCATTATCTACATAATTATTAATGCTCTAAGTATGTACACCAAACATCACTCAGACTACAATTTAACCTTATTCATCACACTAACACTTGCCCCCAGCGGGATCCGAACCGGCTACCATTCATTTTGTAGTTCAGTGTGCTTACCATGAGTTTACGTTAGGTGTGCTCGCTAGCGACTGCGTAAAAAAATGACATTACTTGTATGACATATTGTTCAGCGCCCCTAGCGGCTACTTTCAAGAAACAAAATCTTCATAGATATTTTT